GACCTACCGCTGGATGAGTTTATGTTTATGTATAGGTTATGCCACGTCGCCAAATGCGCGGGGTGGTATTTTTTGAGTGGGCATGGGTGATCCAAGCCTAGGCTTGGTACGCTAATACGAGGTATTCCCTCGTCGTCACATGGTTAGAAACCCATGTTTTTCATGATACGGGGGCCTTTTAACTTTCACCCTGGCGACCGCATGCCCCGCCGAATGAAGGTGCAAACGTTGTTTGAGAATACGGGTGAGAATTTGACACTTCGTTTCTTTCCCTTTCCCTCTCTCTCTTTTTTTTATAGTGATGATAGTTCTTTTATCCTGCAGTTAGCCACGATCGGCCGAAGCTCGCTAGGAATAGATTGGCGAGGGTTGAAAATGCTTTTTTGTACTCGGAGAAGGCTCGCCATATTGACACCCTCTTAACCGAGTCCAACCTTAGAGGAGCAGGGTTGATTCTTGAGCTTCCAGACCCCACTAATCTTCCCGCCATCCGTGAATACTTTCATCTAAGCGACAAAGGTAAACTCCTGGCCTCGACGCTTCTCTTAATCTTATCTTGCATAACGGCACGTTAACTGCATTCTGACTTGTCATTTGCACAGAGATGGCTTCTTTAAGGATTCAGCTCCCAGGCAACCAGCAGCCTCAGTCTGGCCCGCAGCCTCAATCTAAAGGAAAAGAGAAGGCCAGCACCTCTTCCCCGGCGCCGAGGAGAAGGAAACCCACAGAGGTTTCTTTGGGGTCAGGGACGGAAGCTCCTGCGCCCAAAAGGGGGCGCAAAGATAGGGTGCCAGTGACCGAGACTTAGACACCGGCAATTCCAATCCCCGACGTTGCTGATATTCCTTCGGCGCCTAGGGAACGCGTACTTATTCCGGGGGCAAAAATCATGGACTCCAACTTCCAAGTTCTAGACATTTCTGACGCCGAGATTGGGGCCATACTGAAGCTTCCTCCCCGTTTCTCCCTCGTCTTCCAGGCCTTATACGAATCATTTCTTGAGCCGCACTAGATCTCCGCCGCTCATTCTTCTCTGGTGGATCGTCAGCGCAAGCAGATTTCCTTCCAGATTCATGTAAGCTTCGACCGTGCTTTTTTCATTTTTAGATTCGTCCTTCGCATCTTTATTTTCTGACTTCCAATTTCTCAGGGCCTAGTTCTTGCCATTCTCAACCTTATTGATCTAGTTAAAGTTGAGGAACGTGTTAAGGAGATGGACATTCTGGAAGCCAAGCTTACATATCTTCTTGACGATGCCAAGTAAAAGTGCTCGTCAGTCATCGAGGAGAGGGACGTGGCCGTGGCCAAGCTGGCAAGTTTGGAAGGTGAACTGGCCAAGCTGTCAAACCTTCAAAATGAGTTGGCCAGTTTGAAGACTGCGGTCGAAGAGCTTACAAAACGGGCGGAAATCTCTGAGAAGAAATCAGCCGAAGCTACTGAGGCCGTGAAGAAGTGCTTTGCCGAGGGAAAGGCTGAAGGGAAGAAGGAAGCCGAAGCTGAGGCCTCAACAATGTTCGACGCCAAGCGTGCGGAGATTATTGAGGAGTTCAAGGCTTCCCCAGAGCTTATTGACATTCGCACCAAGGACTTTCAATCTGTTGGACAACAAATTGTCGATCTGATTAAACAAGAGCATCCCGAGTGGGATTTAAGCTTTCTTTATTAAGGGGTTAAGGGGTAAAATTCCTCTCTCATTTTTGAACAATATTTCTACAAACACATCAATTTATTTAAATTGCCAAAAATATAATTAAGATGCGTAAGAATTACATACACTATTGGTAGTACAGCCTTAGTTGTTCCACATTCCACGGGTGTTGAAATCGCTTGCCGGCGAGGCTTTCTAAAATATAGGTGCCAGGACGCAACACTTCCTTTATACGGTAGGGTCCTTCCCAAGTTGGGCCCAGAGGACCAGTATTTTTGGGTTTCGTACTCTGTGTCACCCTCTTCAATACTAGGTCTCCTGGGACGAACCTTCTTTGTCTAACTTTCTTGTCGTAATACCGTGCGGCCCTTTGTTGATAGGCGACGAGGCGTAGTTGGGAGTCAAGCCTTTTTCTTCTAACAGATCGAGTTCTCTATTCATAGCTTCTGCATTACCGTCGTCGTTGTAGACAACAGTTTTTAGAGTTGGTGTCTTAATTTCCATGGGGAGTACCGCCTCGATGCCATACGTCATGGAGAATGGTGTTTCACCTGTGGTGGTTCGGCTTGTCGTTCTATATGCCCACGGGACCTTTGCAAGTTCTTCGGCCCATTTCCCCTTTAAATCGTCGAGCTTCTTCTTTAGGGTATACTTCATTATTTTGTTGATAGCCTCGACTTGACCATTGGACTGTGGATGTATTGGCACCAAGAAGTCCTTTCAAATGCCTAAGCTGTCGCAGAACCTGCGTGTTGAGGCATTATTGAATTGTTTCCCATTGTTAGATACTATTGAGTGTATGACCCCGAATCTGTACACGATGTTGTTCCCCATGAAGTTTGTGCAAGCTGCTTCTGTGGTCGTAGTCAGAGCCTTTACCTCTGCCCATTTAGTGTAGTAGTCTACTGCGACGATGGCGAACTTAAAGCCTCTCGGTACGAGGTACAAGGGACCGATCAGGTCGATCCCCCATTTGGCAAAGGGCCATGGACTGAGAATGGGGGTTAGATTTTCTGGGGGTGCTCTAGGAATTGTGGCATATTTTTGGCACTTATCGTAGCGTCGAGCATATTGGAATGCGTCTTTTTTAAGCGTAGGCCAATAGTACCCCTGCTTCGAAACCTTAAGAGCTAAAGACTGCCCCCCAGTATGATTACCACATACTCCTTCATGGATTTCTCAGAGGACCTCCTGGGCTTCGCTATCGTTTAGGCACCGCTGCAAAGGCGTTGAATAGCCTCGTCGGTAAAGTAAACCGTCGTACAATAGGTACTTGGTGGCTCTATACCTGATTCGTCTGGCCTCATCTTTATTATTCGGCAGCTTTGCATCTGTTATATTGGATAAGCGGCATCATCCAACTCTCGTCCGTCTGGATGGCCAAAGCCTCAATTTTTTCCTCAATGGTTGGCCGCTCAAGTTCTTCGATAGGAACGATACCTAGTATGTCGGAATCCCTTGAAGATGCTAGCTTTGTCAGGGCGTCGGCGTTGGTGTTCTCAGCTCGTGGTATTTGAAGTATTTCATAGCTTTGGAACTTGACAAGTTCTTCCTTTACCTTTCTCAAGTACGCACCCATTTTTTCACCGCACGCTTGGTATTCCTCATTTTCTTGTCCAATGACAAGTTGAGAGTCGCTGAAGATGCTGAGCCTCTCGATTTTCAAGTGATTCGCCAATCGCAGTCTTGCAATCAACGCCTCGTACTCGGCTTCATTATTCGACGCCTTGAATTTAAATCGTACCGCCGAAGTAATCTTGTGGCCTTACGGGCTGATCAACAGGACGTCGACTCCTGACCCGTTTTTGCTCGATGCTCAATCCACGTAGAGCTTCCGCTTCGTCATCTCGACTTCTTCGCGTGTGGCGGGAGTTGGTCTATGAGAGAACTCGGCCAGAAAATCAGCCAGCGCCTACCCCTTGATTGCTACTCTCGGTACATACTTAATGTCGAACTGGCTTAACTCCACCGACCATTTGAGAAGTCGACTAGAAGTTTCGGGCTTTTGCAACGCCTGTCTTAACGGGTGGTTTGTAAGAACCCGTATTGTGTAGGATTGGAAGTAATACCGAAGCTTCCTTGAGGCTACCATCAGGGCGAGGGCCAGTTGTTCCATTTCAGTGTATCTTGACTCGGCGTCGAGGAGTCTTTTGCTTACATAGTAAACCGGCAGCTGGACCCTTTCTTCCTCTCTTATTAGCATAGAGCTCACGGCGTGTTGTGACACGGAGAGGTATAGGCTCAGCTCCTTGTCGGGGATTGGTTTTGACAGGATCGGGGGCCTGCCCAGGTGCTCCTTTAATTTTTGAAAGGCCTCTTCACATTATGGTGTCCATTCAAAACGCTTACTTCCTTTTAAAGCATCAAAGAAGGGAACGCATTTATCCGTCGCCATTGATATAAATCTGTTCAGAGCGGCGACACACCCTGTCAACCTATGCACCTCTTTTGGTTTAGTTGGAGACCTCATATCCTGCAATGCTTTTATCTTTTCGGGATTAGCCTCTATTCCCCGGTTACTGACCATGAAACCAAGAAATTTCTCTGATCCAACTCCAAAGGCGCACTTCAGGGGGTTTAGTTTCATATGGTATCTTGTCAACACGCCAAACATTTTCCCCAAATGGTCGATGTGCTGGGTGGCCCTGGCACTCTTTACAAGCATATTGTCGACGTAAACTTCCATTGATTTTCTGAGCAGCTGAACAAACATCTTATTCACGAGCCTTTGGTATGTAGCCCCTGCTTTTTTCAAGCCAAAAGGCATTACCTTGTAACAGTAGAGGCCCCTATCGGTTATGAAGGATGTGTGCTCCTCGTCGGTCGGATGCATGGGGATCTGATTGTATCCGGAGTAGGCATCCATAAAACTCAGCATTTTATGCCTCGTTGTGGCGTCAACCATTTGGTCTATTCGAAGGAGCAGAAAACCATCTTTTGGGCAGACTTTGTTGAGGTCACTGAAGTCGACGCATGTTCTCTATGTTCCGTTAGGCTTGACCACCAAAACGGGGTTTGAGACCCATCGTGGGTAATGGGCCTCTCTAATGAAACCATTGTTGATTAACTTATCGACCACTTCTTTCAATGCCTCATACCTCTCCGGGTTCATTGGTCGGTGCTTCTGGCGTTTGGGGGGATATGAGGGGTCGATATTTAGAGAATGGCATATGACTTCTGAGTCGATCCCTTCCATATCAGCATGATTCCAGGCGAAGACATCCAGGTTCTTTTTTAGGAAGCCCTCGACTTCCACCCTAAATTATGGGGTTAAGTCCGAGCCTACTTTTAGCACTCTGGTTAGCTCGTCCTCGTCGACTTGGATCTCCACCAATTGCTCGATGGGTTGAGATCATGTGACCTTCTCTTGGACCTTGGGATCTATGTCCTCAATGGCGCCTTGACAGACCATTCTGGCCTCCTGCCTCCCCGGCTGGTCATATCCGCGCAAGGCATCAGAATACGTAACCCTAGCCTCATACTGGTTGCTCTTTATTTCGCCTACACCGTTTCGGGTAGGGAATTTGACCTTCTGGTTGTAGATAGAGGTTATTGCCCTCAGCACCTGTAGGGTTGGCCTCCTAATGACGACATTGTATTGGGAGCCTCCCTTTATTACCATAAAATTAGCCATTATAGTGGCTTGTCGAGGTTTCTCCCCAGCAGTTATAGGCAGCCGGATTGTCCCCCGAGGGATGACGGAATCCCCAATGAAACCGTACAACGGCCTGGAGGTTCTCTCTAATTGTTCCTTTGGGATCCCCATCTTTTCCAGGCAGTCGGAGTATAGAAGGTCTATCGAGCTCCCATTGTCCACTAGGATTCGGCATACAGTGTGATTTCCAATCACAGCTTCTACCACCAAGGCGTCGTTGTGGGGGAAGTGAACCCCGCTGGCGTCGTCCTCATTAAACGCCACGTCTGCACTGCCAAACCTTGTTACTTTCACGGCGGAGACACTCCAGAACCTTTCCTGGTAAATGCCTCTGGCTTCGTGGGCGTAGTCTTTTTGAGATCTCCTCGAGTGTCCTCCAATATACGAACCGCCGAGGACGGTCCGTATGACGCCAACGAGTTCTCAGTCCTCTAGTCGATGATTCTTCTCTCGGCATTGACCGTCATTTTAGCCGCCGTGACCATCGTTTATTGGTCTCCTCTCGGCCTTGAACTCCTGCAGCCTTCCCTCACAGATTACCCTTTCGATCTCATCTTTAAGATCGGCGCAACCATTGGTGTGGTCGCCAACGTCGCCGTGGAACCTGCAATATTTTTTCTAGTTCCTTCGGCTGGGATCTAACCTCATCGGCTCAGGGAGGCGCAGCAAGTTCCCGCGACCTACCTGATTAAAAACTTTCTCGACTCCTACTATTAATTCATGGTAGGAATCATACCTTTGAAACGGCCGAGGCTTGCGATTTTTCTCTTGCCTCGGCTTCTTGTCTTCTAGAGCGTTTGGCGTTGAAGCAGGCCACTTGTCCCCGTTTCCTCCGCCTCTCCGTTTCTTTCCGTCTTGCTTTCCTGCAGTCGACCCTTGCTCAGTCCCTTTGTTTTTGTTGGACCTGTGCTCAGGGTCATTCGCATCCACTTCCTCGGCGTTGATGTACCCTTGTGCTTGTGCGATGAATTCTTTGTAACTAGACGGGGGCTTCCGGTTCAGCTCTCTCTTGAAGGGAGTAATCTTCTTCATGCTAGATAATGCCCCCATCAAGCCTCCCTGTCAGTTATGTCCATCGTTGCGGCGACAGCTTCCCCATACCTTGCAAGCCACTCTTTTAATGACTCGTTTGGCTTCTGGTATATTGTTCTCAAATTCTGCTTTAGAGGGACATATTTTTTCACTCCCATAAACTGAAGGGAAAATGCTTCCTTCAACTCATCCCAGCATGAGATAGAGTTTGGTTTTAGCGTTCGAAACCATCTCCGAGCAGAGTCCGTTAGATGGTTTCAGAAGGCTCGGCACATGATCTCCTCGGCATATCCATGCAAGAGCATGTGCCTTGTGTACATTTCTAGGTGATCGTCGGGATCCCCTCTGCCGTCATACAGTGGGATCGACGGTGACCTGTATTTATCGGGGAGAGGTGGCGCCATAATTTTTACGGTAAACGGGTGATCGTGCGTCCGGCTGGGTGTGATGTCGACGTTCACCACCTCGGCCACTCGTCGTATATTTTTCTTTGGGGCAGCGACATCGCCCGTGAGCTTTTGCTCTAGGCTGGCCATGTGCTCCACAATGGCTCGTGTCTCCTCCGTTGAGATTGCTGAGCCGGCTCCTCTCGAAGCTTCTGCCCTTTGTGCGTTGGGTTCGCCCCTTGCCCGTACGCCTACTTGCACCGACCCTGCATCTCCTGGAAGGTTTCCAACTGGGTTCTGAGGCGGCGCTTCGGGGTTTCCCAGGCCTCTGGCTATTTGGTTCTCATGAGCCCGGGGTCCGGCGGCCCTTAGACGACTGCCGGAGGATTAGGAAGGTCGAGGCCTGGGATCACCTCTAAGATTTTCACTGTCCCCGATTCCTTCTGGGATATCTTGGCGGTCACCAGGGTTCTGGTTTCCAGCCACAGCAGCTCCTAGCGGTATTGGGGCATCTTCTAGAGGCGGCATCGAGTTCCTTCCATCCAAGCGCTCAACGACAGTCATTAGTCCCCGCACCAAATCGGTCAGAGTAGTGAGCTGGGCCTGCATCTGCACAAGGTCCGGTCGCGGCACATCTAGGGGTGGGACTTCATTCCTAACCAGAGGTGGGTCTTCTTCCATCCCGTCATTCACCGGATGTGTGGCAGTTTCTTCCATCTGGCTGCCTTGGTTGATGGCCTCAATTCTTCTTCATGGAGGCATGTTTGCTGACTATGTTGTTGTTAGGGGTCAAGCGTATGAACTAGAGATTCTAGGTTCGGTCCCCAGTGGAGTCGCCAATTGTTGACGGCTAAATTTCGTCAACAGAAATACGCCGGGTTACCCACTGGTATCCTGTTGGGTTACTAGTTAGAAATTAACTGTATATTTGAAATTATGCTATGAAGTGTTTGTTGTATTTTTGGAAGCATGAGAATAATGCTTGAATGAGAGGACACACGAAATTTATAGTGGTTCACTCTATTAATGAAGAGCTACATCCACTTGTGTATTGTATTTCTTTTTGAACTTTTACAATTTACATGTATCGTTCCTCTTTCTCTGATTGAAGATTAAAGAAGCCAATCTTCTCCCTCCTCCGTGTATGGGGCTTTGCCCCTTTTATAGCTCAAGGTTCCTTCGTGGGCGGTTCTCCTTTGTAGGTAAAAGTACTTGAGTGACCTACCTTTCTAGGCCTAGACCGTAGACCACTAATCACTTTTTGAACTATTCACTCAGCTAATTAGTCTTCCATTACGGCTCTGTAGATTCCGATAATCCTTCACTACCCACTGTAGGGCGGTTTAGGGGATTGCAATTAATGCCTGTACTGCAGACATCTCTCATCCCTAGACGCAACTTGTGATGTCAAGCTCCTTTCTGAAGAGTATTCCCCTCGTCGTCTGCGTTGCGTAGACCGCATGTTCTTCCTGGCAGTCGACCCTTTCTATACATAGGAATTTTGTTACCATAAGATCGATGGCACGACTGGTCGACGGTATGCCGAGTCGATGTCCTAAGTCAGGCCTTCTTTGCAGCGTAGAGGGGAAGCGAGTTTCAAGCGTCGAGGGTTGTCACCTTTTGAGAAAAAATAGAGTCACGTATCACGCTATCACTGTTTCACATGTCACTCATATTTTTTCACACAACAATAATAATAGTAATAGTAACAGTAATAGTATTAATAACAGTGATAATAATAATAATTATTATTATTATTATAATTATAATAAAATAATAATAATAATAATAAATTTAGAAAAAAGTATCTGTTCATATTATGGCTTTGAAGCTATCTTTTCGTGTCCTTGTCAAACTTTATTCGGCGGTCTCGTCAATTTATGATAGCTTTGAATCTGGTCTTTGGATTGTCCTTTCATATTAGCTAGTTTGGAGTCTTTTTCTTACATGTCGTCGTATGATATGGTTCGCGGAAATTCTCCTTGTCAAGGGCATTGTTCGATTTTGTTTTCGCTATTAGTTTTAACTTCTGTTTGGTGGGTAAATTAAAATTACGAGATTAAAATTATTTTTAATTTATATGTAATTTTTATAAGAAAAAATATTATAACGAATTATGAATCATAATTTAAATTAAAAAATAAATTTTCTAATTAAATGGGCTCTTAATGAATTTTTACCAATGTCTAGATCTCAAATAAATGAAAATTTTATTAATAAGACCTTTTCAATTGTAGTCAATATCTTATTACGAATAAAATAGAGATTTTGCGATTTGATTATTGTATTTTTGATTTATTTATTTTAAATCTTTTTTTATTTTAGAATTTAAAATTAAATTTAGTAATTAGTAATTTATTAGAATTTAATTTAGTTATTTATATTTTTTACCACTCTTTAGTCTTCTTAGTAGATTTTGCCTTTAATATGTCCTATGAGCAACTCTAACGTCTAACCTAGGCTAAATTGGCGTGAAAAAGTGGGTTTACCGTGAAGAATTTTTTTCCAATTGACCACCATTTTTCACGCTATTTTAGTGTGAATGTTGTGCGGGTGAACAGTAAAAATTTAAATTTAGTTGCACTGTTCACTCAACACCAAATTTAGAATATATAAATAGAGAATATAAAAAAGGAGATGAAGAAGAATATTATTTTTTATGTTAAAACCCGTACAATAAGTTGGAGGTGAATTTACTATTTAAAGTGAAAATTACACCATTTTGTCGAAATTTAGAGGTTGTTTGGTTGAGAGATTCGTTTCCTGATTCGAATCATGATTCGTGGTTCGTTATAGTATTTTCTCTTATAAAAAATACACGTAAATTAAAAATGGTTCAATTCATGAACCAAACGTGTCCTTACACCATTTTTATGCTATGGGTTAAAGATGCTCTAATTACCAATACCAAAATAAAGAGAAATTTTGTTGGATATATATCATGACTGTTTCATTAGCTAATAATTGCAAGTTTTGATCCTTTCACTTTTATTGATCTACGAGTAACCCACGGCCTTCAATAATTTTAATAATGAAATAATAATCAATTTCGTTTTTAGTTAAAAAAAAAAAAATGAACCATTAGTCACAACATCTTCTTATAACATATTTACAATATTTTTGTGTAACCAAATTACGTAGTTCTTAAGCACAACTTGTGACTAATATAGATTTTGTTAAATTTCTGTTGTGACTAAAACTTTTTTCCACAGACCTTTTAGTTAAGGGAACTTTTCTGTGTGACAAAAGAAAAACTTTTTCCTATATATGAATAAAATTACAACCTCGTGGTTAAAAGTTTTGATGCGACTAAATTCATATTAGACATCACAAGATTCTGACTAAACATACAAATTAGTTGAATCTGCTTCCAGTTAAAATTTATAACATTTTAAAAATGGTTGTCCACCACTTATCCAATGTCTCTAGATTGATAATTCAGATTGAACAAGTAAATAATTTAAAAAAATTAAAAGAACACTCAAAAAACACAAATAACCTCTGAGAAATAATAAGAACAAAGTGAAGACAATAACATGCAAGGTAATTATATTCAAAAGATGAGTGTCTCTCTTTTCCTCTCAAATCGAGAGAATTTATAATACATAAGGAATTGGTAATTCCTCCTATTAATTCGAGACTTTATTTTCTCTTTAATACAATAAGGTTCTTCACCTTTTCAGGTGTTACATCCGATAAATAATTAGTAAACGAATTAAACTTGAGTCATTGAATGACTTTAATTGTCGACCGTTACTTGACATTGATGTTTCATAACTCCTGACGTTCCGACTTCTTCTCTATTTGGGCATACGCTCAGATAGTTGCCTAGCTAGCGCACACACAGGTTGGTACCCTAGCATACGCTCAAGTTGCCTGAAAACTTAGTACATTTTTATTAGTTTCAAAAAATCCTTCCAAAGGTTACTATATATTTATTTTTTTCATTCCAAAATTTTCTAGTTCTTCTTAACCAAACAGCTGGCTATGAGTTGAATTATGGTGAAATGTTTAAATAAGAAGAGATAACAATAATAATAATGTATAGTTTGAAACAATATAGATCTTGCATGCATGTCATGACATCATCTTAATAAGTAGCAAGGTCTATTATTGGAACACAATGGGCTTATTCTTTTGATAAAAAACTCAAAAAAATGTAACTTAAGTTATAATTTTATTTGAGTTCATGTTCTTTTAAGTTTAAATTCGAGTTTAAACTCGAGTTTATGACTAAAATTCGAGTTCAAGTTTCTCCTTCAACTCCAGTTCAGAAACTCAAACTCAAATTAATGAACAGTATTTTTTCTATTCTTAAAAATGCTATAACTTTTTCGTTTTAATTATGATTGAGATGATTTTTTTTCTCTGCGTTGACAACGAAAAGACGAATAAAACCCGACCCATATACCCTATTAAAATTTTTCATCAGGATTGAGTTTTAATTAAAATACTATCTAAATACAAATTCAAGTTTTGACTCACTCAAACACAAACTCAAAAAAAATTTTATCTCAAACCATAACTCAAATGTACACAACCAAATACAAACTCAAATTACAAGTTCAACTCAAATTTAACTTAAAAATTATACTCAAATTAAACTCTAAAAGAACAAGATATATTCACGTT